AGTAAGTACGACGAGTTGCTCCGAAACCCAATAGAGCATGCAATATAGCACCACCAAGTGGTGGTGCTGCTGAGTTGTTGTAGTAGTAGTCGTCACAGACACCATCCAAACATGAGCTCACATGAAAGGTAAGCAGCCAAATGGCTAGCGAATTATGTTGTTGCTAGACGAGGTAGTAAGTGAATAGTAGTAGTGGTCGTGGTAGTGGTGGTGGATAGACCGGAGAGGAGATCGTTGCGGGCGATACATAAAATTTGAATGCGTTTTGCATACATTAACCCACTGTTGCCGACACTCGTTTAGCTGTTGGGGTGACAGAGAGAGAGAGAGTGAGTGAGTGACTGACTGAGAGAGAGAGAGGGAGAGTACGTTAACGGTCAAGCTAACACCAAAAGAAGAATATACCTTTATTAAATTTTATGATTATTGGCTGCAATTGAGCAGCCGCCCTGGGAATGTGTTGCTTCCCTACTTCAACGGGTCTATCACTCTCCTCTCTCTCTCTCTCTATATATATATATATATGTTTAGATATATATGTGCATATGTAGTAGCTGTTTTCCCCCGGTTCGATTTGGAATTGAAATTTTATGCGCAGAAATTCTCACGCGTAACTGGAGCAGTTGGTGGCTGCCTCACAGTGAATGGAGACGAGACAAGAGTCGCTTACAATTTGTGTTGGTAATTCAATTTACGTTTTTGAAATTTTAATTAACTTGCCAACGAGTTTCACTGGGTGTCTGGTCTTGTTGCTACACATGTAGACAACAGCTTCAGTTCCAACTCGAGCCCCAGCCCCAACTCTCTGTTTGTATATCAATTACCAGCCGCTTAATGTGCCACAAATTGAAAGCCATTAAGATTTTATGTTTGGAAAAGGTTTGCTCACTGGCATAGAACCAGATGGGGGCGCAGCACGTTTCTCTAGTTCTCTAGTTCTCTGACTCTGACACACATCAATCAGTTTTTGGGGCAGCGATCTTCTGTATTTGGTCTTCTGACTTGGGATCTTCTCATTAGATATGCGGCGTGGCGCTTTAACACAATTTCTGTGCTAGTTCTCCTAAAGATTCCAGATGCAGATACACATCTATGTGGACAGCTGCTACCTTTTGTGGCATTGGAAAATTAATTAGAGCTGTGGGCGGCTGGGCGTGGCTGGCCGTCCGCGTCGCTGACCAAATTGAAGGCAAAAGGAAATGGCAACTAAATAAATTTTTGAATTCAACTTGAAAGTTGAGCACACGCCCACCACAAATAATGGGGATGGGCTGGGGATGGTAGCTCCTTGTTGTTGTTGCTGTGGCTGCTTCGTTATGCAAATCTGTCAGCCAAAAAAAAAAAAAAACAAGAAGAAAATAAAACAAAAATGAGGAACGCGAGCTTAAATGAAAATTTTGAGCGATGTCTACATAAAATACTATATAGTGTGTATATGCAAATGGTATATAAAGAAAATACCAAAGACAAATACAAATAACAACAGTGACAACAGTGACAACAACAAACAGTGGACAGCAATTTGGCCAAAATGCTGGCAGGACAAAGGGACGAACGAGCAGCAAGAAACGCGACGGTTTTATTTTTCTCTTTTGCCGCGGGATAAATAATAAACGTAAACGAATTAAAAACGCTGCCAAACGAACTGCCATGCATTGGATGGCTACTCCTTGATCTGAGGGGAGTGTCGGGGGCAAGAGCACAAAGTTTCAAGGAGCTCGGTCCTCTCAATATTGAACGCTGCCATCAAAGTTCTTCTACTTCGCATCGCTTTTTGGCCAGCTGGTTTTGTTTACTTGGCGAAGACAAAGTTTATGCGCTTTTCAATTAGTTTTAATTGAAATTCTCATTGATTGGGTTGAGTTTGCCTTGTTGAAGTAAGCAAAAGTATAAAGAAAATTTGATTTTTTCGCAGTAATTAAAACTTGGAAATGCTTCGGTTTGTAACAGAGGCACTGAAATAGTGAAGAAAACATTGAACATTTAGATTCGTTTACTATTCTATGCTGGATTAGTAGGACGATAAGGTAAGCGTATTTCATCTATTTAAAATAAATCTTGTTTCCACATTTAAATATAGTAATCATCTCGATGTCGAACTATTATCCAAAATGTATATATCAAAAGCAGCTGGATTTTGACATTCCCAATTGTTATACTTATATTCAGAAATGTATACTGTTTATTAAATGTTATTATAAATTTAGGAATGCAATCTTGAGATGTACATTGAAGCGAAGCAAAATGTATATCGATGATGTGGCAAGTTTAATCTTAATATATTTAAATATCTTTAATAAAGTAAAATTGTTTGTATAATTTAAAGGGTATCGTGTGGTGCTAAACTTCGTGCAAATGCAACAATTAAACTTGTCTGGCTTTCTTTTCTTTCCACTTGTCGAGGCGATAAGCCCGGTCTGATAAGAGTTTTGTGAGTTCAATTGAATTCAGTAGGTTTCCCATGTGTGTTCTACCTTTATCTGTCGACACTTACATGAGATGGCTTGCCATTTCGTAATGAAGTTATTCTCATGCAAAAATTGAACAGATATACGACTATCTGCGGCGATTGCCACTAGATATTGGCTAGAACAATATCTGAAAGTGCCCTTTCGACTTACATTAAAGGCACATTTTATTCAATTGCGGCCACACAAAAACAAATAAAAATATTTTTTTTATTTTTATATATATTTTTTTTTTGGCCACTTTGTGCACATAAAATAAAATCAAACGATGCGTTGAAAGCGCCGCAGCCCCGCAGCTACTTTCTGCAAAAGGGCTTGGGACTGGCATTGGTCAGGACCAGAGGGGGCGGGCCAGTCATGTGTGGTTGGTCAGCTGAGTGGCTGGGGAGGTGGGGTTGGGTTTTTGGTTCAATAGACAACGCAGATGCCACCAGCCACAAGGCAAGTGCCTCCTCATCCATGTGGTTACTGTAGCCATTTGATGATTTTTGCGTCACCGTTGGTCAAAATCATTTCGAGCGCAAGCAACTGGAAACTGTATAAAAATAATGAAAAGAACAAAAAAAAAAAAGAAGAAAAAAATCGACTGTGCGCAGAGAAGAAGAAAAAGCATCACACAGCGACGAAACCAACTTGAAATAAATGGTCAAAAGAAATAAACAGTCCCATAAAGAATAATCATTCAGAATTCTGCTGAATTATGCATGAGGCGGTTCCCAGCCCAAACCGAGACCCAGGCGCACACATCCCCGAGTAGAGTAGCAAACGGACAACGGGCGAGTGGGGGGTATGAGGGGGACTTCACATATGCGAAATATCCACACGACCCTCCGACCCCCGGTGGTGTGCTGATGTGCTGTTGTTCGGTTCAGTTTGGGCACGGTTTTGGTCAAAGCATCATTTTCCTCTTTATTATCTGTTTGTTTAGTTTTGTGTGCTGGATTTTTATCAGGCTGCCGCTAAGCAGTTAGCTGAGTTTGGAGTGGGAGTAGCAGCAGGAGGGGTATGGGAAGGAGGAGCGAGTTGGCAGAGCTCCCGCGGTGCTGCTGTTTGCCACTTGCCAAAAGTCAGCAGCGTTCGCATAATTTTCGATAAAGCTTTTCGCCAAATGAAATTCAAGTGGTTACACATTTTGGTGGCATTTTCTCCACCCATACTCGGTCAAGTTCTTGCCATTTTTAGACAGTCATTTTTCTTCGTCCCTCACTGGTCGCCTGGTCATTTTCATTTCCACATTATGCCGCATCTTATTATCTGAGTTTTGTTTGCTTGCTTAGCGCTTTATTGTTGTGTATTTATTGGTAACTTTGTTTGTTTTCCCTCTGCTGATACAAGAAGGTAATGCGTGCCTCACATACCTCTCACTAATGACATGCACAAGCATTGACTATTTAGTCTAGACCTGAGTCAGCGCACAACGCCGAACTCGATCGATTCTTATGCAATACACCCGTGAAGTATCATCAGACATTGTTTTCCGTCTGACTTTGTTGCACCCTATGTATATATATTATATGTATATATGGGTAATCGGCATTATTTACTATTTGCGGCTTATCAGATTGGTAGCCTCCATAGCTACCTCAAGTTGTTGTTTGCATCTAATTGCATCAGTTGGAATTAAATTTAACTATCGAGCCACTTATAAACAAGTTGTTTATATATATATGCACAAGCAGGCTAATTATAGATTAATCGCAATTCATGAGAAATTGATTACACAAATTTTCCGATTCAAATGAATTTTTGTTATATTGATTTTTCATTTGTGAGAAATTTAAGTGAATTTCTATCACAATTATTAACTATAAGCGTTCTGTGAAGAGTTTCGCCGAATTACGATCGGGTGATCGACTGTAATACTGCTGTGAAATCGGTTTGTAGAGACATTTATTGAACAACCCGTGCAGACTTCACTGGGGGGCCTACGAATTGTGATTCCTGATAATGCAGCCCATTTATTGAAGAAGAAAAACAAACATTAATCTGTTATTGTTTACGCAAATCTTCGCATCTAAATAAAATGCGTCAATGAACGCATTTTCCAATATATGTAAATGATAAGGACGCAACACTAAGATAAGAACATAATGGAAAATTATTTAACACTGTGATACTAATTATTAAATCGATGGAGTGAATTCCATTCAGCGTTGACATCCAAACTGAATTAGACAGACAGACGACTTTGATTTGGTTTTATTTTTAAATCGTTTTCGGAAACTATTCAATAATGCGATCAATGCTTGGCATTGATCATTCAGTTCTTGGGGAATCTGCGATATTTGCTTATTATTGTTATTATTGTTTGGCATTGCGTATGAAAACCATATCAAATATGAGCTGTTGCGGTTTGGGAAACGGTTTATTTTCGCGAACAGCGGCTTAAACTGCTATCGGCGCAGTTATCAGTCCGAGCTGCCCGATTTGTGTTTATTTACGACTAATTATATGTGTATATGTATATGTACATACATAATATATACATTGCTGATCTGTGTTTCTCAATTTTGAAAGCTTTAATATGCCGTCACTGTAACTTGAACACTCATAATTCCACTGGCATTCAATCAATGCAGACGTGAAAAGGAGAACTCAAATCAACTGATCTCGTAATAAGTGTAAAGTGTCTCAATTTCAATATAGCAACCAGAACAATAATCTATTTTGAGAGCACTGAACGATTGCACAAATAAAGTACAATAATAATACAAATAATCGACTCGTATTGAATATGGCGCAAAGTGAATGTGGAAATTTCTGTGGTAAGAAAATGCAAAAGTGACAACGTTTTGGCATCGCTAAAAGTAATAAATATTTATTTATCAGATGCTGGAAGGGAGCAGACCTGTTGCAAGCAGACAGCTGGCACTATTGCCAGGAGCAGTGCCTCCAAAGTATTCCCCGATAAGATCTACAAATCGGTTCAAGCCAAGGGCAAAGATGTAACCGGTATGACTTGCGAGTGTGGTGTATTTGGCGCCATATCCTGTGGCGACTATCCTACATCGGTAAGTGAACAATATTTGAAATATTTGGTGTATTGGCAACTGAAAAGGAATTTAATTTGAAAGTATAACGTTTTTTATGAGAATACTTGTTAAGTTATCTTCCAATCTGTAATCTTTTGAGCGGTATAATTTACTTTCAAGTACTGTATAATTTGTGATGCTTGATTTGTGATTATTGTTCTGGTTAAATTTGTGTAAAAAGCTAAAATTTTAGCATAAATGCAATTTTTGCGTTCATTATTTTGAAATTGGTTGTATTTATTACAACATAATACTCAAGAGAGAGTATAAAATACATAAATATAAATGGCATTCTAGTTTAGTTTTTCTAATATTCAAGTCATCCATGATGCAGTAGCAAAGTCATTAGAATTCACCACATAAACAAATGCACAATTTTTATTAAAATATATTCTTTTATATTGAAAATTAATTTATATTAAACCTGATTAAATAATATAAATTCTATTCTGTATTAGCGTGTACGATTTGAATCATCAAACAAATCAAGGCTCAATACACATTTGTCATTTGACATTTGTATTTATATTTGACACCTCGAAATAGAAATTCCGTTTTAATGAGTAAAGGTTAAAGTATTGTCAAGTTCAATAGATCGATTATGCGATTGCATCGATCACTTCTGCTAGCCAATTTGTTGGCATTGTCAAAGTGGCAGCAACAGCCATGTAAACTGATCGCAAGTGGGTCAACTTGGCGGCGCCCCTCGCCTGCCGATGTCAGTGACGTCAATGAAAACGCGTTGCATGCTGCGGCTTTTGCTTTTGCTTTTGCTGCAATCGAGTGTAATCAGTAATCTGTAATAAGTATTGATGTCGTCTTCGTTGCTATTTGTTTTTACTAGTAATGAAATGGAAAATAACAGGAAAACATGTGCACAATCAACACACATTATCGGTCGTCAGCATTGTCAGCTGTTTGCATTGGCATCCAAATTGTATAGAATTGAAAAATATAAAAAAACATGTGCTCCATATAATTGATATTGATACGCTTTTCGCACATTTACGTTTTCAGCTCGACATTGCCCAGATGATCTGCTTGGGTTTGGTTGCCCTGCAGCATCGTGGCCAGGAATCGGCTGGCATTGTCACCAGTCAGGGCAAGAACTCCAAGAACTTTGCCGTCCACAAGGGCATGGGCATGATCAGCAACATTTTCAATGACGAGGCCATACGCAAACTGAAGGGCAATCTGGGCATTGGACACACCCGCTACTCAACAGCGGCCGCCTCCGAGGCGGTCAACTGTCAGCCCTTTGTGGTGCACACGGCCCACGGTGCATTGGCCATTGCCCACAATGGGGAGCTGGTTAACTGTGAATCGCTGCGTCGTGAGGTCCTCGAACGTGGCGTTGGCCTCTCCACGCACAGCGACAGCGAGTTGATTGCCCAATCCCTGTGCTGTGCACCGGAGGATGTGTCCGAGCACGATGGACCCAATTGGCCGGCACGCATTCGTCACTTTATGACCCTGGCGCCACTCTCTTACTCGCTGGTCGTCATGCATAAGGAAAAGATCTATGCAGTGCGGGATTCGTATGGCAATCGGCCGTTGTGTCTGGGCAAGATTGTCGCCTATGATGCAGGCCATGCCAACATTGATGAACAGCTTGCCGAGGGTTGGGTGGTGAGCAGCGAGAGTTGTGGCTTCCTCTCCATCGGGGCACGCTACGTACGCGAAGTGGAGCCGGGCGAGATCATTGAGCTGTCCCGCAATGGCTACCGTACAGTGGATATTGTTGAGCGACCCGATTACAAGCGCATGGCCTTCTGCATCTTTGAGTATGTCTACTTTGCGCGCAGCGACTCCATGTTCGAGGGCCAGATGGTCTACTCAGCGCGGCTGCAGTGTGGCCGCCAGTTGGCACGTGAATCTCCGCTGGATGCGGATCTGGTCAGTTCGGTGCCGGAATCGGGCACTGCAGCGGCTCATGGCTATGCGAGGGAGTCGGGTCTGCCCTTTGGCGAGGTGCTCTGCAAGAATCGCTATGTGGGACGCACCTTCATTCAGCCCTCGAATCGTTTGCGCCAACTGGGCGTGGCCAAGAAATTTGGCGCCCTCGCTCAGAATGTGGAGGGTAAGCGGATTGTGCTCGTCGACGATTCCATTGTGCGCGGCAACACAATTGGTCCCATCATCAAGCTGCTCCGGGATGCTGGCGCCACCGAGGTGCACATTCGCATTGCCAGTCCGCCGCTGCAATATCCGTGCTACATGGGCATCAATATACCCACCCGCGAGGAGCTCATCGCCAACAAGCTGAATGCCACGCAGCTGGCCTGCCATGTGGGCGCCGACAGTCTAACCTATCTCAGCGTGCAGGGTCTGGTCAAGGCGGTGCAGATGAACAAGTCGCACGTGAATCCCCTTAAATCGGGCTACTGCACCGCTTGCCTCACCGGCGAGTATCCTGGCGGACTGCCCGAGGAGCTCAGCTGGTAGAATAGCTTGGCATTTATGGAGCACTTAGTTTAAGTCGTAGATCTTAGCTCACCATCAACACAACACATCTATTCCAGTTCAGTTCAAACTCCATATTGAGATCTTAATTCTAAGTCCATTCATACGTTTTCTAAAGATTTAAATCATCTAATTAATTTAGTAGTGTTTCAAATAAATGTTACTTAGTCAGAAGTATTATTATTTTCTTAGTGCTACGTTTATTTTGATGAAAATCGAGTTTTCGGATTTAAATGTGGGCTTATCCTCGGGGTCGAACCATGATCGAAAAGCCTTCCCTTTTGTGGATCGGTTGAGTTTTGATCAAGTTATAGCAGTTATCATTTTGGACTCCTGCCTTTCAGTAATAGTTTGGTAATATTTATTTAATTATTTTCTGTACAGATTTAGACACTTCCACACTTCCGCAATATAAGCTAATAGGAGAGATGAAGCTGGTCGCTTGAGAGTATGCAACATATTCTAAATGCAAATTGAAGCGAATGAAAGAGACGACAGGGGTTTAGTGCCTGCATGTCATGTGATAATTTCGAAAACTGTCTAATGCCATAACTTCAATTCATTTCAATTTATATTTCGAAAGTTTGTTTGCCAAGCGGACCGACACGTCGCGGCGTGTCTCTGTTGCGGTTCCGGTTATAGTCGCATATCATACAATATGGTAATCGTGTTTGCTTTTATTTTTTTTTAGCCTCTGCGCTTTCCGGCTCGCTCTTTCTCCCTTAGTCTCTCTCTCTGTGTTTCTCTTTGTCAGCGTCAGCGGAGGGCGTTGCAGTGTCTAAAGCGGGGCGTTTAGGGCGTTTAATCCTGCGGAAGATGTCCTTGCGGTTATGTGGGGGTTTCTTTTCCTTTCGTTCCTTTTCCTTTTCGTTTTTTTTTTTGCTTTTTGTATATGACGCGCGGGGTACTGAAGTCAACAATGTCATCATTATTCTTGAATATTGTGTTGTATTTTCGCAAACAATTTCGCTAAGCTGCGCAGCGTTGAGAGTGGATGGAGATGGGGATGTGAATGGTGCCTGTTTTGCGGGGGTGGGGATGGGGATGTAGAACGGGGCTCTACGACTTGGCGCTCTGGTAATGACATGAAGAAGAAAATAATATGCGCTGTCATTGTAACTCGCTTGATTAATTCTTGTGTAGGGTATTCATGGATTTTCTACAGAGATTTGCTTATGCTAAGTGTTTTGGATATTAATATGATATATATTTTATTTGGAATATTTATTAAACAATCTATGAATAGACTTATAATAAAAGAAAATGAGAAATTAATATCAATAGAAAAAAATCCATGCATATTTTGCTGGATTTTCATTATTGTCTATTTTTGATGAATTCTGAAATTCAATATTGAATATCTTTATATTTCTCAGAGTTTCATGTTTATCATATTTTCCCATGACTACTTCATATGTAGTTAAATCTTTAGGTTTTATATTTTATATATCGTCTCTAGTTGAATCTTCATCGTTTAATTTCTGCTTTCTTTCGATTTAATGATGATTTTGTAGAGCATACGCTTAGTTGGTATGGCTTGAAGGTTACGGAGTCTCTTCATACCCATTGCCATATATACAAGTGGCTACAAAAGGAAATGACTCTGCCAACATTGAAAACAGACGCTGGCACTTCTCTGACACAATCGCCGGTTGCTGCTACAAGGATATGAAACAAAAAAATACAAAAAAAATAAAACGAACCGTTGCTTGCTTATGTGCGCAGTCGATCACATACACCCACAGACGCACACACACACACACACTAGCACACACATACATACACACAGAGTGAGGGCGGTGACAACTAAGCTGAGCCATATTGCCAGTGTTTCAAGCGATGCCCCTTCGTCCTGCCGAGCGTGCCGCAAAACATGCTTTAAATTTTTTAATAACGCCGGGCTACAAGAGCACTGACGCCTGCGTCCGGACCCGGATCCGGCTTCTGTTTCACTGTGCCAGGCGTTGCCCAAGCTCCAAGCTTACCCCCTCTGCCACCTCCTCCCACACTCGCACTCTCTGCCACTTGTAACTGCGTCAACGTCGCCCACGCTGCCCGTTGTCGTCATTTGCACAGAAGTTATGTAAATTAATGTTTACTTAAGTTCCCCATGTTATTTCTTCGCTTGCTTTTTTTTCTCTTTATTTTTTTTTATTTTTTCGCCTTGCACTTTCACAATGCTACCTACTTCAAAAACAAAAGCAGACAGAGGGCGTTGAATGGCGGGGAGGGGCAGGAGAGTGTGTAGGTGGCGGGGTAGTGTGACGGGGCAGGTGACTGCTAGGCTTTTGGCTAATGGCAACGGCAACGGCTGAAGGTTAACGCCAAAGACATTTTAGCCAACTAGCAAAGAGTGTTGGGGGAGGTAAAAAAAGAAAATTTGCAATAAATTTTGCCAGCGTCGCTTCTGCAATTTAATAAAAAGCGTTCAAGATGTGGACTCCGAGGATGCGTAAGGGGGCGCAGCATCTTATAAACAATCATGCATATTATTGAGTCAAATGGCTGAGTAAATGTTTCGTGTGTGGCTGGCTGGCAAAATTATGGCAATGGCATGCAAATGAAATGAAAATGGTAACAACAAAAGCTGTTTTTTGGCATCATGTTGATTATAATGAACACCTCTACGGGTATATTCACGCAGCCATTTGCTGGGGCTATCGAGGCACTTGAGCTGCCGCTTAATTTAATTTAAACATCACACGGCCCGAAGGCTTGTCAGGGCATGTCCTGGCAGCCACTTGAGGTTCTCAGCTAGCCTGACACATGACGCATGCAACAAGTTGTGCCTTGCAACGATTGATAGACAAACAAAAGGCACCTTGCCGTTGTCCTCTGGCAACACACAAACGTGCCTGGCATTCCTTAAATATAGCCAACAATGGTCGACAGTCGACAGTCGACAACCGAACACACCAACAAATCAAATGAGATTTTCTGGCCAATATACTTTTGGCCTCAAAACGTATGCGGTTAACTGCCTGGACAACATTTTGCAGTCAGGACATCCTTTCAGTTCATTAGCAAATCAAACTTCCGCTTTTTCCTCAAGATATTCATGTGGTCCTTGTGTCCGAAAAAGGCACGAACATGCCACCAACATGAACAAACTCTATTTCTTGGCATGCCGTGGCAAGGAATTTGCATTCCTGACCCCAAGACCCGAGTACAAGATATTTGGCTTGTTAGCTGGTAATTTGATTTAAGGGCTTTACTTGACCGCCAACTGAGCTGTGAGAAAGAGCTGAAACTTTTAGAGATTCTGGATATGCAATAAAAATGTAATTGGTTTTTATTTTTATTGAGAAATTAATATTCGTATTCGCTTTTGGTTCAAATATTATTGTCAGTGAATTTTATTATTCTGATTGTACACAAGCATACTTAAAGTACTCAATCTTCGTGAGTCGCACTGACATTTAATATATTTAATTACATGTAATCAAGTAATTTTTATTAAGCTGAGGTGCATTAAATTAATGTGAAGTTGAATCAAATAAATACATTTGATTTAAAATTAACAACTGTGTGCAATGAATCATTAGTTATTGTTATTTTTTTATTGGTTTCAATGCTACGCCTTTTCGATTAAGCTGTTGTTTTAATGAACTGATATCAAATTAAGCACATCATCCATATAATTTTTCGTGCCTCGGGTGCTTTGCATTGATTACAAGTTGTAATTAAAATAATATAATTAAAATATTACAGACAACCCGTAGCTGACGCAAAAAATAAATACAAAAAATAAGAATAAAAAACGATAAACAAAACCATCACTCAACGAAAAATTGCAATTTGTAACGGGCACCCCAAAACAACAACTGCAGCAATAACAACGAGAGAAAAAACCAAAGTTAAAAAAAAAACATGAAATAACGAAAGGCTCGTCGAAGATGAAATACCCTTACAGATTGTAGTGCAACTGCATACTTACTTATTCTATATGGTATGGAAATCCGATGCTGATATATATTGATATATGTCGAAATGTGTGGAACATAATAAAAGTGTAAATTTATCTTTTAGAAGCTAGATGATATAGTATTCAATGATTTTTGGTATAAACGTGAGTATCAATCGTTCCCATATCAGCCATATAGTATTGTAATACGATCTACTCCGATATTTTTACTGACTTCAGCAAATAGACGGATATATTTCAAGTTTAATCAAGGTAGCTTTAATACCGAGGAATAGATATAGTTGCTAGGCTGGTCAAGCATATATACCTAATGAGATCGGATCGAATCTTCTTCAAGTTCAAGACAAATAATTATACTCTTTGAGAGAGTATACCAAATTAAAAAAAAAAAAATTAAAAACTGCACAAAAAATTTTCAGTTGAGCGGCCATGTAGAAATTTGCAATGGTGGCCAGACAACTGCGACGACGACAGCGATTGCGGATGTTGGTCTGTTGTTGTTAATGCTGCTGCTGTTGTTGTTGTTGTTGTTGCTGTTGCTAGTGTTGATGATGTTGTTGTTGTCGGCTGTATCAGGCACACAATAAACATCAAGATTACACTGTGCGAAAAATAAAATCAGCCTGGAAGAACAACAAACCATATGAATAAACATAATATGAAACTAAAACAAACTGATATTCAACGAAAAAATATCAACAATAATACACTGAGCAAAACAATAATTTTAGAAAAAAAAAGAGAAATAATATTGAACTTGCTTAATATTACTAATCTATCTAATAATCAAATAAAAATCGAATAATATTTATAGAGTTAGGATAAGATACAGCAGAGAAACAAGACTAAACAAAACCGTTCAGCTGGAACTTGAAAATTGTTTATCACTTTTTTCGCTCAGTGTATTTTTACCAACAAAATAATGAACTACACGCAATGGGAAGCATAGCAGATGCAGTTTGTCTACCGGGCGAAAAACAACAATCAAATGTCAGCCCAAATGCCCAATGGAATCGTGGGCGAAAACTTTAGTTGAAACTCCAGTTTGAGCTACAGTTTCAGTTTAAGCTCCAACTGCATCACGCCTTGTCACACATGGGCATGGTATGTGCCTTAATGGTGGCCGGAAGTGAGGCGCCATCAAAATGGCGACCCGGGGCAGCAGGTGAAGCCATTCTCTGATTGTTGTAGCATGACACTCGAATCTGAGATTTGCTTTGCTGTTGCGCGCTTTAATTATTATTATTAT